ATTTGGAGAAAGAAAATAAAAGGAGTGGCAGAGAGGGAGGTACCCACCGGTGGGGAGTCGAACCCCGTTTGAAGAACAAACCATTTTGCCGGCGTGTGTACCCAACACCACCGGCCCTCATTCCTATCCGATTGAACCGAGCCTAGTGCGTTGAATTGAGGGGAAATAAAATAAGATAAAAGCGGAAGAGAAATGGAGGGGGATGCACCGGCGGGGATTCGAACCCGAGCTGGCCATGAGTGGAACTCTGTTCGATAATTGCTCTGATGTGTGTACCATACACCACCGGTGCTTATTCCTATCCCTTTAACCCAGGGTGGTTAGCGGTTGAAGTGAGCGGCAAAAGAAAATAAACACAAACGCTGTCTAGACTCCAGACGTCGGTGCCAAGCCTGCGCCATCCCAGTCACCCAGCATCTAAGGGAGTCAAAAGCCAGGAAGATGACGAGCACTGCGGGAGGGACGAGCCAATAGAGAGCCATCGAGCGAGTGACCATGGCACAGAAGGTAATTCATAATTAGTGTTGAGAGCAAAAGCCGCTGGTCTTCAGGGCATACTGTGCCGTCACTTGCTTCAATGTCTCGGATTGTCGTGCAAGCAGTTCGTCAAGGTGTATGCGGACAAAGACAGCATACTCTGCGGGTATTGTGTCAGCGAAGATGATCCTCGAAAGTAATGAATCAGGAAAGCGAACTGCGTTCTGGAGGTTCGGATGACCGTTGAGGTGCATCCTCGTGGTGATGAGGCGGCGGTGGTGTAGACTCGTAACCAGTCCGTAACCAATTGCCGAAAAATGTGGCAAGCACTTTCGGTGGTTACGGTTATGAGTATAGCGGCGGCGGTGCAAGACGCTTACTCAACGGTCCATATATCTGTACACGAAGCCACCGCAGGACCACGGCGAAGACTGCGAGAACGGCGAATCACGTTTTTCGGTTGCCGAAGCAGCGACGATGTAGGTCGCCGCCAGGGTCCTCCTCAAGCCTGTTGGATTGGATTTAAAAAGATTGGAAGGTCGGAATGAGGTCGTGGGGAATGTGCCGCCTAGTTCTGTGGAAGAAAGTCTGTGTTAAATAGCAAAACCTTTCTCACACGGTTATTACACGTTATTTACGTTCCTGTCGTTGAATCAACTGTCCTAGGCTCCCAGGTCGGTAGGTCGGTATTACCGGCGCGGTCAGAAGCGGGCTGAGCGCATCAGGATGCCAATCAGAGAATCCGACGTATGTAGCAATACACGGCACGGTCCGAATAGAAACGCCGGAATGCATGACTGAGAGCTCTTGGATATGATTTTTGACCGGTAAAACTGTATCAACAGCCAGATCATTTGTCTCCCATGGAGTTCAAGCACTTGACCTCCCGTATACGACGAGTTAGATTTTTTTGGAACGAATAAAGCCGATTTTTGACCAGAAATGGATGAACGAAACTTCGCTAACTGTGATTACGTCATGTTATAAAGTCGGCCGTTGGATTCTCACGTTTCCTGTCAACCCATCTGCTTGCTGTCGAAGAAATAGTTCGATTGGTTCAATTAAATTTCCCTGAAAGGAAACTATGTGAATGATGAACAGCGTTAGGGTCGTGATTTCGGAAGTTCCAACGACCGGGCTTTTTGCACCCGGTTTTTAATCTGGTGGCTGAACTATTTGAACCTGGTCTAACGCTGCGCAGACCCTTCAGAGGCCTTACAAAAGAGCGTGCGTATTGACTGGCATTGATAAGGTAGTCTCTCTCTTGACGGACACTTCAGTATTTCTACCTCGCTCGTTAACCTCGGGCAATAAAGACCATGCAGCCAAATTAGGAAATCTCTCGAGTTGGGTTCCCTTTCGGGTAAATATAATTAGACCAATCAAACGGTTCCTCCTTGCCGCCGAAGTGTTACGATATGTGGATCATGAGCACCCGCGAGAAGACGACCGTTCTAGGCGGGTCTTCCGGTTTTGCAAAAGTGATATGGAAACTCCCGAACATGTGCTTTTTCCCTGTGATTCATCGCCCGAGGTTGTTTCGCTGAGAGCCATCTTCTTGGAGAAATTATTCACCACTGCACCAACCCTGCGCCGCCGCTTGGATGAAGAGGCCTCAATTGAGTTTTTTAAATCCGTGCTTTATACGTTTCACCGACCGGGGGTAAACCAAGGTAGACAAACGTCGCCTACCCTGTGACTACGAAAGGTCATGGGCACAGGATCGGTTCATAATCTCCCGCCAGTTTGATTGAAATCTCCGAGAGCAGGGCATATTGCTTTCCGCCCTCATATATAAGGGGTTGATTTCAATACGGATAATTCACTCACAGAATGTTGAACAAGTTCATCTCGAGCGCTCTCCTCTTCCTTGTCCTCGTCCAAGGAGCTATGGCCACCCCAAAGCCAATTGTCTGTGAGTGTCGTGCATCTTGTGTCGCATTTAAGATGACTGATAAAACTTTGGGCGGTAGGTGGTGGACCCACTGTATGTGTTTGTGCGCGGTAAAGTGACCATTGATCTAATAGTTGTCATAGGAGCCCGCATGCCCGCCGCCGTGTGTATGTCTTTGTGGCTATCGTACCGTTTATGAGTCGATTTCTGATCCTCCCATGACAGGTACCCGCATGTATGATCCTGGGTCGTGATTTTTCATTTTCGGGTTATTCATCTTCACTTCAACAGGCACAGACGCTGAGTTTTGCTGCGAGTCATTCACCACTAGGCGAGTCTTTACATTGCATTACCAAAGAATATTGTGAATTGACGTCGGCGGAAGTCACTGCGTTGCCTTTGGAGGATTCTGTCCCATAATCGGCTAGGCGCGCCGACGAATGATTCAGCCAGAGCCTAGAGAAACGAGCGAAATGTGGTGTTACACAAATTGTTTACATAGGTGTAGCCGCCACGATTGCCCGTAAACATAAATCCCGTTGCGACTCATGTTAGGCACGTTAGATTGCCCCTGGCGTAAGAACATGACTATATCGGGCTGCAGCAGCCAATATGAAATGAGTGCTTGGACTGACATAGTCAATCCTGGGAAGGAATGCTAGTATCGAGTCGCGAACCACGCTTGACGTTAGCTGCAAAGATGCGACGCGGGATGCTCAGCATGACCCGGCAGATGATGAGCAGGAAAAACGAACGAGTGCAGTGCGGCTTGAAGCGTAGAATGTTGTATCCATCGCCTGGCTGAGTATTGCAGATGGGTCGTGCGGAATTCGGAAGGATCGCGGTCGAGAAAGCCAGTCCAGGACCTTAGGGCGGAACGGGTATGTGAACGGGGCAAGATAAAAGCGATAACGGTTAACTCGACGCATTGAGCGAAGAGATAATGCGAGATGGGATGGAGAGAGCCGCGCCGGAGTGATGCGGTGCGACGGTGAGAACGTAAATAAAATTGAGAGCGAGAATACCGCGGGATCGAACAGGAACGGGGAGCGAGGGAAGGGAGATTATGGGAAGGAAGTGGAAAAGTACGGACTTACGAGGGAGGAAGACGTTCCGCTCCGCTCCGTATGTTGGACGCTGACGAAAGTAATGGGCCTCAGAACCGGGAGATCGAGGATAACGTACCAGGTAAGCGTGCGTGCGGTTCGGAGGGGAGGCAGATGGGATGATACGAGGATGCGCAGGAGGGAACAGATGTGAACGGGGTAGGATAAAAGTAGAGTGCAATTCCCGATTTCGACGCCGGGGTGTGTGTACGGAGGACGGCGGGGGGTACATGTGCGTGTTTTCTGCAGATCGACGCCTTGAACGAGATGTACGGAGTGCGCTGCGGGATGAGATGCTGAATCGGGTAGGTAGTGTTTGATGGTAGCAAGGTACGGATAGAAATAGGAGTGGGAAGCGCATGAGGCGGGAAAGATTGGGGACGGGGAGTACGGGAGGCGCGGGCTGTGAAATAATGGGTTTCAGGACCGGGAGATTGCGGATAACGTACCAGGTAAGCATGGGTGCGGTTCGCGGCGGGGACAGATTGAGCCTGTGTGGACAATAGGAGGATGCGTGGACGATACCAGATGCGCAGGACGGAACAAACGCGGGATGGGTCGTAAAGGGGAAAGGCTGGTCAGAGGGAGGAGTTGAAGCGCACGGGGCCGAAGGGGAGGGCGGCTGTACGGCGGTCGGCGCTGAGTGAAGAGTCAGTACAACGGTGTAGTGACCTCGGATAGCATACCACAGCACGACGCCCCGACCGCCCATCTGCGTTACCGAACGAATCTCGAGCAGGCACGCGCCGCGGGCATGCAGTGCGCCTTCGAGCAGATGGTTAGTACGAACCTTGCAGCAACGAGGCTGCCGGGAGGTAACCCCCCGGGAGCGGCTCTGCGAGCGGAGGTGGTGTCGATGTCTGAGATGCGGGAACTTCAGATACGCTGTAGGGGCCGGATGCATTGGGCTGGAGAGTGCTGAGCAGTGTCGCGATAGTCACAGCAGGTATGGCGGGCGGCAGGCCGCGAAAATAACAGGGACAACTTGTGATATGGGGGCTGTGCTGACCTCTTTGTTTCCCGCCATGAAGCCTCAATTCGGAGACGTCTGTCTCTCCCATGAGGACATCTACACGCGGATGGAAAGCTGCATTCCGCTCCGAATGCTCCTCCGTTCACTGGCAGCCCCACTATGGTCTTTTCAACCGGCTTCTGGGCTTTGTTGATTTCCCTTTACTTGAACACAGCTCGCTACTGCTCACCAACTGCTCACAACCCTCGAGCCGGACCTATTATTGTCGTTTTCCGGCTCTGATCTGTCCAACAGTCGATATTCTGATATCGCCTCTCGACGTGGTACCACTTGTGGCTTCGGAATGCGGCCCCGCCGCGAGTAATTTTGCTGCCGCATTCGCTCTATTACTGGTCATTTTCGGGATTTTCTGTGATCTTACTGAGCAGACAATCTTCTCCATCCGAGGTACTCTGTTCTCGGTGGGCTGTCCTGAGTCTACAACTATTATTGACTGCTTCTTGCCGCGAAACGATTTGCCTATCGATTGCACTCAAAGGTACGAAAATATGTCTTCGTGGAGTAGGGTACTCGTTCTCATTCATTGCCTATACGACCTTGTGGGTATATGAGAGAGTAGGTGGTTCGAATCCACCCGAAGACGTGGCTCTGTAGCTTGGTATTTTTTATTTTATTTTCACATCACTCCTTATCTCTCAGGAAACGAGACAGTCAGGGACTCGAGGCAACCGACTTCGAGTATTCGCCTCACGTCTTCAAGATTTAATTGTTGCGGACAATACTTGCGGCACCGAGATGACTCCTCCTCCTCCTCGCCATGCCCATGTTAAATTTAATCACCCGCATACCCCACCCAGAAAGCAAGCAATTAAGTCTTCGTAGAGCGTGGCGCTCGTACCCATTCAATAACTCATGAAGGCTTTCGCTTATTAGAGACACAGTGGTTCACCCGAAGAGTGGATCAGACTCTTTATGTATTTTTCTTTCTTTAATACTTTTATCCTTCGCATCCCAGCTCATCCTCAAATAGCGCCCGTAGATGCTCGAGGCAGGAAATATTTGGAATGAACTCTCAGCTTCTTCTCCACTGTCCGCGGACGAGCTGGCCAGTCCTTATTCATCCTTGCCAATCCCACCTAAAAGGTACGAGAATCACTGCGTTCAGGCTCCAGGTAGCCGAGGCAATTTCTAGATGCCGGGATGCCTGGCGAGGCGCAAAAAATCGTCGTCTAGCCCCTGCGAGGCCCGGCCATTAGTCGCCAATCTAGTCACCTAGTCACACCTCCCGGCGTCTCGAAATAGCTCGGCTAGGTTCGGTGAACGCAGTGAATATCTCTTCGTGGAGCACGGAGTTCGCTCTCATCCAATGTGGTCATTCATCCCTGGAGAGCGGTCCGTGGTTCGAATCCTCCCGAAGACGTAAACGGGACTTCCGGATTTGTTCCCCCCCCAAGTGTTTGCAGCCCTGCGCAAGCGGAACACCCCGCTATCATGTCCGCTATGATTATGTTTGATTTTTTTTTCACCCTGCTTCTTATCGCATCGGGGACGCTCGCAGCGGCTACTTACCTGATATTCATTCTGGTGCACGTGCTCGCATTTCGATCAATGTTTCACGTTCCGACTCTTCACGCCGCGTCACTGACATCCCTCGCAGCCCGTATTCACCCCTGCGTCTCTCACCGGCAAATAAGCCTTCGTGGAGCGTGGCCTGAAGCCTCTGCCCAGAAGACTAAGGATGGCCCAACGTCTTGCCACCATGCCATAGTCGTGAACGAGGTGGCAGATGTGTCCGTTGATGACGGAGAATTAATGTATCGAGATCTAGGTCATTCAGAAGTTCGCCGCTCCACTTCTTTCCACGCTGTTCCTTTCTCTTTTTGGATTCGCCGCGTCATGAAACGAGCGACCAAGCACAAAGACGTGTAATACTACCTACCTACCTACCAAATCCGCTACTCAAGGAAATAGAAAATGGAAAAAGGGCATCGCCGATCTGGTGAAAGAATTTCGATTTTGCAAAAACGACCAAGCACGCTTCGGCGTGTGGCGGGCTGTGCGCCTCGGCGGGCACGCGGGGAGTCGGTGGGAGTCGACAATTGATCAGTTCAGTGGTGGAGAGACCCACGCCTGGAAGAAATGAATTTCGAACTTACTTCATTGCGGTCATCAGTGGTGTGTCTGACTGTACTATCAAGATTTGGAAATTTATGATTTCGGTGTTGGCGTTCGCATGGGAAGAGAATGGTTTGGACAGCATTTATTCTTTGTTGATCGCCGACATCATGATAAACCTAATGGGAATAGGGCCGGTAGGGAAAGCGTGGGCTCAGTGGCCCTGGGTTTATGAGAAGCCATAATCTGCACTGCGCCATATGCTCCAGCTGTATTCAGAACTACATGGGGAAAAATTATGATAGGAGAAAATCGAGCATAGTTTCCGAGGAAATGGCTAGAGCCGAAAGAGCCATGCTTACAAATCCCGGAGGAGCCGTTCTACAACGTGCTCGTTCGCCCTCCAGATTCCCTCTTTGAATGCCTGGAAATCCGCCTTGGGCCGCATCCACCCGAGGTGCATCATTTGCTCCGTCGCCTGCCAGATAGGCGAACCGGGCAAAATCCGATTTCTCTCATAGAAATATGACGCGTCTCCAGTTCGCAGAACATGCAAAGCCTCCACCTCGCTCATGGCAGCAGGCCGTGTTATCACCGCTCTGTCGTCGTTCGCATATGCATACGCCGCCTTGATGCGCTCGGTCACCAGGATGGGTACCTAACAGGAAGGCATCACGAGGAGCTCAAGTGATGAAGAAAGACGGGGCGCACATTAGACTCCAACGCCGTTGCAAATGTTGAGCTTGCCTTTCGGTCGTAGTATTTGTTCGAAAAGAGCGCTGGGACGCAGATATCCATCCGACTCAGGAGCTCGTAATACTCTGAGGGAAACTGTGAGCACATCGAAGTCGGACATTCTTTAAACACACCGGTATAGTTCAGTCCGTTGCGGATGACGACCACGTTCTGCAACTCGTGTGGTATTTGAAGATGTCCTGACCCCACGAGGAACAGTCGAAATGGAGGGTCCGGAAGAGTAATGTCAGGAATGTACGAGGCATCGTGGGTTACAAGCGGCAGATACCCCCATGCCTTCGGATCTCCTAGACCACGGTGAATTTGTAGTAATAGAAGCTGGAGTTGTGTTTACATACGTGCAAAGGACTCCCCCAGTTCCGCAAAAAAATCCGCGTAAGTGCGTCGAATTGGAGAGAAGCTTCCTTGGATGACGGCGTCGGAAAGAACCCGGGAGTATTTACGATCCGCCAAGGGTATATCGAGGACTGGTACGTGCACATGTATGGGAATGTATTCGAATCCGGCAGAGCGGATTGTCGCATTCGCGCTATCTGCTTCGACAAGGAACGATCTCCGGAATGCTGCAGCGACACTAGATTGGCTTAAACGCAATGTTACGAACGAGACGGCGAGGACTGACTGCTCAGAAATCGGGAGGATTCGAATTGCATTTCTCCGGGACCATTCGACAATCATATCTGGCCATGCAGTGGCGCCGAGATAATTGTTGTCTGCTAGTCGTTGTGGAGCAGTTGTAGGGTCCCCGACATCATGGGCAATGCAAACAAGCATGAATTTATGCTCCGAGGCCCTGGTGTCCCACGCGGACAGAAGATCTTTGTGCCAGAAATTATCTTCGCGCAAGCTAGGAAGAAAGAGGTGACTGGAAGTAGAGTTTTTAATCAATGCAACGCACTCGAATTCACAGGTTCCAAGCACCACCATGTCTATCCCTCCCGATTCCAGGTTGCTGTTCAAATCAGCAACAAGGGTTTCTGGAGTCTTAACCTCGCCCTGATACAGGCCTAGTGTATCGACGATCTTCTGGAATTCATAGTCAAAGGGCAGTGGTGCGTATGTCTGCACAGTTCCCTCGTTTGGGCCTATGAGCTTCTCCAGCGTCCAGACGAGGCTCATGTAAACATCGTGATGGAAGGCAAAGGTGGATGCCACTGCGATATGATGGCGCTTTCGAGGGGTCGACAAGAAATTTTCCTTGCTATCGACGGCACGACGACTCGTTGGTGGCCATTGCCTATGGAAGTTGGAACGAGTCGAGGAGAGGGATACGAGCTGCCAAACTAGAAGCGGTAAGATGCAGGACAGCACGAAAACGAGCAGGCGATGGAGAAACATTTGTTCGTCACTGAGAGAGCTCGTGGAAGCGTTCGGATAGACCGGGTCTCACACTCGGAAAGAATTTATTCATCACCAGCGATTCGGAATGGGGATGGATTGATTCAGATCGGCTCGCCCGAAGCTCATCCGTCTTTGAATATATACTAGAAGAGTCGGAGTCAGACTCGGCAATTTAAGCGAGTCCGACCAATGATGAGGCTTGCCGATGCGCCATCAACTTTGGCATCGGCCACATTCTGGGGGAAGGATTCCCCAGACCCTTCCCTTTCGCTGGCGCGGGGTCTTTGTATTTTATTTTTATTTTATTATTGTGGCCAAATTTGGCGGCTGGATCCGAGTTTTTTTAGTTAGATCTCCCTTGGCGCTCGTCGCTAGAGCCACTGCGCAGAACATTTTCGCTCTCCGCTGGACCCACTGCGTGGTGCGCGCTCGCCGGCGAGGCCCACTGCGTGGAGCGGGCGCCTGCGGCGCTGGTGAGTGGAGTTTAAAATCCGCTGATGTGATTCCCATTCTTGGCAACCACTTGCAAGACCACTTGGGGGCTGAGTCCTATCGATTCTCGGCTAGCGCTAAGCGAGATTTAACCGACTCCGACTCTTCTCGTCATTCCTATCCGTCTGGCGCGGTGGCTTCATCAGCCTTTGACAAATTTCTTGCGCAATTCTTGCGCCTTTTTGTGGCCTTGTGAGCTTGTTGGTTTGCCAAGACATGTATGTTCCATTTGTGTGAATCGCATCAATGACAACGAGTACGTCCTTGACTCGATGAGATTGTGTAGGATGATGGTTGTCAGATTTTGGCCGATGATCTGGTTGGAAACAGTACTAACCCCCAAGTTTTTTGTTATTCAGGAGGTGATGTGAAGCGGCGAGAAACGACGAGAAAAAGAGAACAGTAGTCGCCAGCAGACACAGCTCTCATTCCTCCGTACGTGAAAGAATATCGCGTTAAATGAGTCATTCTTGAGCACCGTCTTGAACCCCATGCGGTTCTACTGGTACAGTCCCGAGCCCGAAGAACGCCGGGCTCAGCCAGTTCGTCAAGGTGCAGCATCAGTGAATCCAATCGGGCCGAGATTAGTTCCGAAATGGTTATCTACACATTCCATTGGGTTCATCGAGATATTCCGACATGTAAGGATTCCGTACATGGAAGAGTATCGCGTTCAATGAGTCATTCTTGAGCACCGTCTTGAACCCCATGCGGTTCTACTGGTACAGTACCGAGCCCGAAGAACGCCGGGATCGGCTAGTTCGCAAAAGTGCAGCATCGGCGAATATAATCGCGGCGAGATTAGTTCCGATACCGTAATTATTTATATACAGCGTACTTGAGCAGACGGCTCCTCAGACTGTGTTCTACCAGGGCGCACGGAGACTGCGGTGAGCCGTCTCATACTCAGTTTGTTCTTTTCTTGCTCATACCTGATCG